TTAAATATGTTTAATATAATTAATATGTTCAATATAGTTAATATAGTTAATATATTTAACATAATATTAAATGTATATATAGAGAATTAAATTTAAAATTGTAGGCGAAACTAAAATCTTAGATTAAAACGTTTCAGTTTTCAAAAATGAAAATCTGAAATTTTCTGATAATCTGAAACTAAGACAAAACTGGCAAAACTAAACAATATTTAGTGAAACTAAACAATACTAGCAAAACCTTCTAAAACTAGTTAACCAATTAAAATAAATGCTAATTTAAACCTATAATGCTAAAAATCAATAAATTAATATAATATAAACTAATTACAAAATTTATTTATTAATACATTGAAGTTGCTATATTGATAAATTAGACTAATTAATGCACTATTTTAATCATAATATACAATTAGCATATAATTTATTATTTATTAATTCAATACATCTAAAAACAAAAATTTCACGTTAAAAAAAATAAAGCAGTTAAAATGAAAAAAAAACATATTTTGTACTTTATATTAAATACTTCATAAAAATTATATGTTGCGTTCTAATGACCTTTTAAATTTTCTTTTTTTGTTAAATATATATTCCCAAACTATTGATTTAAGTTTCCTACTAACTTTTAGTTTAGGTAATGAAGTATCAATTTTTTTTTAGATTTAATAATGCAGTACTGCGATAAGGTTATTTGAATTCAAAATGAACACACACAATCAAGATACAGCATTCAAGAAACAAAATTTTAAAAACTATCGCTACCTCCTGTTGCTATATTCTAAATCTGTTTGAGTTAATACCTCTCTCTGGAGGTAATAAAATATCATTGGTTGAAGTAGTTGAATTAGCCTCTATTTTATAAGATACGAATGCATTAATGTTTGTCTTAATTTTTACGTGAATAATTAAGTTTCAGAGAATTTCAAATAATTCAGATTGAATTTTGGATTTGGTAGTATCAGACTTAATTGAATATTTCAGAAATTTTTTATTGAGATGTAATTAATATCGCCTAGATTTCAGATTCAAATTAGGCATAATAATTAGATTTCGTCTGAATCTTTAACTAAATTCATTAAAAAAAGATAATTATCAATTACTAGATATAATCTAATTAGTTCAATAATAGCTATTACAACCTCCTTTTTTATAAAGATAACATAAGGTTATTCTTTTCTATTTGTGATTAATTCTTCTTTTAGTAATTTCTTATTTAATATTTTTATCTTTTAATTTATTTATTTATCAATAAACTCTTTTTACTTGAGACTTCTTTGTGATACTTTGTATTAGAAATATAATTAATGTTTGACTTAACATATGAAGATATATTTAATAGTATATTAAATATACTTAGCAGTATATAACAGATAAATTATATATTTATTATAGATTTGAATATATTTTTTTAGTATATAAAAAACCTTGTTTAACTTGTAAACTATAGATTTTGCTATGTAAACTATAAAAAAGTCAACCTTTTAATACTGTATCTAACAGTTGTAATCTGAAAAGATTGTATATTAATAATGTTTTTGAAATTATCACATTATATTTAATAAATTATAGAATTCTATTATTTGTTTTTAATTTGAAAATTATTTGTTATTTATCTTAAATGATCTAATATTTAATTTTAATTTATACATATATAATAAAGGTTTATTATTATTAAAATGATTATCAATAGATACAATAGAAATATAATATTATGTAGTTATTTTTAAATAAAATTATCCTTTTTTTAACTAATAAAAAAAGATAAAAAGTATATAAAAATATGTAAATCTAATAGTAAATATTTAAACAGTAATAAAATAAAATTTCTTAATTTATTTGTGAATTAAAATATTTGAATAATTAAATAAAAGATTATATTTAGTAATAAAAATTTATTTCAGAATGAGTTTTTTAGTTACAGTAATTACTGTATCAGCAAAAAATTATCATATATTATTTAAATAATTTAATGAGACATAAAAATCTTAAACTGTATTATTAAAAAATATAAGATTATTTTTAAGAATCAAATCCTTTTTATCTGAAAAAAATCCTATTATAACAAAATTATTTTAGGAATTTTATTTAGTAATTTATGTTTTTTTAAAAATATATTAGTTAATTAATTGAAACATTATTTTTATAAATCATAAATATAAGTAATAAATAGTCAATAGAATACAAAAAAATAAATTATTTAAGATGTTAAATGAAGTAAAATTATAAGCTAAAGCAAAGATATTAAAATATAATTTATGTATGAAAGTAATATGTGATAAAATTAAAAGATAATAAGATAAAAATGAGAAGTAAAAGAATATAAATAAAATTAAGATTAAAAATTTTGTGAAAAAAATTTTAAAGTATTTATTTATACTTAGTTTTATATTTTTATAAGATATTTATATTAAAATTTTCTATTTATACTTTATGAAAATTGAAGCATTATAATTTTATTAATAATTTTATAAGTTTGTTTTAGATCTAAATTATATTTAAATAAATTTTTATTAAAAGTATAATGTATTTTTTATAATAAAGCTAATATTTTAATGATTTGTAAATAGTTATTATTATGAAAAATGTATTTATAAGATTTATTATGTAAATATTTATTAATACATTTAGCTTGTAATATTGTTTAATAAGTTTTAATTAAACCCAAAATATCTAAATTAAAATTTATAAAAAATATTTCAATCTATTATAATTTAATATTAAAGAACAATTTATTTATATTATAAATAACAAAAATGAAAGATTTATTAAACTAAAATAAATTATTAAATTTTTTTTAATTATTAAATAAATATGTTAAAAATGATCTATTTAATTTATTTTAAATAATTATATCATTTATTGAGAATTATTAAAAGTTAAAATAAATATATGTAAAGTAGTTATTATAAAGCATATTTTGTCATATCAATTATTAACTGAGAGTTTAACTTGTAAACTTTATTTATTAATTAGAAATAAGCAGTATTATAAAATGAATCAAAAGAAATTTCTTCAAATAATGTATTTAATTAATTAGAATTAAATTATTGAGAATTTAATTTTGTAGCTTTAATACTGTTATTCAAATTTGATCAGAATTTTTTTCATTTAAAATAAATATTTCAATTACTTTATTATTATTAGATTCTTAATTATAATTTTTAATTAAATTAATTTATAGTTAATATTTTAATAGATTTTATAGATTTTATTATATAAAGTAATCTCATTTTTTATAGTAATAATTTCATTTAAGAAAGTTAAAGTTTATTTTTAATTAAATGAGATAGTTTATAATATTATTTAATAATATTTTTAATATTTAAGAGCACAGCTTCCATTATCTAGTCTCAACAACTCTGAAATTAAGGTGTTAAATTTTTCTAAATAAATTCACATGATATTTTAACCTGCATTAAGAAATTTAGCATAATTTTGACTGATATTAAGAGATTTTATTTATAATTGATTTGGGAATTACACAATGTCTTTTAAATTTTTTAACCGAATATTTTGCTTATTTTATATTTAATCTATTTATATATGCATCCATATACCTAAATGATTTTCTAGCAAATGCTCTAATTTATGATATAAAAATTGAATCTAATGTAATAGGAACAACTTGTTTTAAGCTATTTTATATATAATCACAGTTGTTTCTTGAATATTATTTTACTGCATCCCAATACATCTTAATAAAATTAAATTTATAGTAAAATTTAGGGTAAAAAATAACTTTATGACCTTTTACTTCAATTATTTTTTGAATCATGCATTTTTGAGCAAGAAAGCCTGGTTGATTTGTAAGTATATGTCACATATACCATTGATCATCCTCTGATTCCTTATTCTGATAATAACCTTTCAAACCTAGTTTTAATAATTGATGTTTATGCAATACTTGTTTCATTCCTTTTGGCTTTTCACAAAATGGTTTATCAGAATAATTATCAGAAAAATTCATAGTTTGAATTTGATTATTAAAAATAGTATTTCTTATTTTAGGTTGTTTACCATCAGATTCTACATTCATATGACTTACAATAAGAGCATTAGAACTAAATGCACTATAAAAAGTGGAGTTATCAAATGCAAAAACTGCAATAGTTCCAGGATGAGTTGCTTCAAATATTAGAATAACATAGTTTACAATCTAAATTAAAATTTTTAATATATTTTATAATAACTTAAAATTTATTAAATTAAAGAGAATACCTGCTTAGCTAATAAATCAACATTCTGCTAATCATCATTATTTATTTTAGAATGCATTATTACTCGTATTTTATATGAAATTTCATTTAAATTATTAGATTTTTATTCTTTATTTAATTGCAAACAGCTAATAGTTTCACATAAAAAGTCACTAATATGAATAGCTTATCTTTTACCTTTTTATGTAAAGGCTGTTCTTCATTAAGAGTCCAATCAGATTGTCTTCCATCATTTGAATGAAAAGTCATTTCATCATAAGTTACTAAAATATGCAAATATTAATCATTTTGCAGTTCTGGATTTTAAGATTTTCTCTATCAAATAAATTACTTATATTTCTATTCATTCTAAAAACTTTTTTTGATATTCAACAACATCATCTCTCTCATGCTCATCAACATAAATACCTTTAGTAAATTTTTAAATTTAAAACCCATTTTTAATTCATCTTTGTACTATTGCTTCACTAAATTAATAATAATTATTATTATTTCATATTGTTATCTTTTAAATAATAAATTACAAATCTGATTTTAAGTTTATTTGTAATTTCAACTGATGGAAAAATAATATTTTTAACATAATCAGTAAAATCAGCAGCATAAAACTCAAATTTATGTTAACACAAATATGAAACCACTTGTAATTTAATATCTTTATTATCTAATAAAGATTTTATTTTTTGATGTTTACCACATTTAGAAACTGTAATTTTTTTCCTTTTTAATAAGCTTTTCTCACTTCTAAATGCAATGCGCAAAATATTTACCTTTTTTTAATTATTATATAATAGAAATGTTAGCTTTAATCTTTGGTTCTTCATAATCAATAAGTCTAAGATACTGCAATAATGCAGTTAATTTTAATTTATAACTTACATTAAGCTTTTCTTTCAGTAAATTTTCAAGTGCATCAATTGCTTGATTATTTAAATATTCATCACATTCAGATTCTGAGTTAGATTCACATAATTCATCAGAATCAAGTTCTTTAATTTCTTGATCAGATTGATAAGGTTGTTTAAGAGTAAAAAATTTAGTAATTGTTTGTTCATTTTGTGTTGCAAGTCTTCTGACTTCAGCTTTTTTTCTTTTTTAGTTCAAATTGAATTTCTAGTATAAATAGACCTGAGAGCAGGTGATACATAATTTTTCATCCTGTTTGATAAAATTTAATAAAATCATTAGCTTTTTCATCTAATTATCAATCATCCTAAATTAGTTTGCTATCACTTTTATCACTTTCTTCTTTTATAGTATCAAATTCATCAAAAATTGGAATATTTTTACTACTTTTTTTCCGTTCCTTTTTTGGTCAACTCTTTTATTTATTTTTGCTGTTTTGAAAGTGGTAGCATTTTTGGAATAAATGCATAAAAAATTATTTGTTTTACATTTTATAACGATGAAATTTTACCATTAATAGTAAAGATTATCAGAGGCTAAATTCTAAAATTTTTATATACACTATTATGAAATTTTGCTAAAAAGATACATGATAACTTTTTTTATAATGATTGTAATGTTATTTTTAAATCATAATCTAAAAATTCATGATAAAAATCTATGGAAATATAATAAGTTTATTACAATAATCTTAATTTTAAAAAAGTGGATATAATTTGAAATTAGAATATAGAACTTGCTAGGACTAAATAATAGGAGCTGTACATTAATTGATTTAAATTTTGATTATTTATTATTTAATTTAAAAATTTAGTATAAAAGTTATTGTTTTATTATTAAAAATTAAAATAAAATTTAATAAATCAATACTGCTTTAATTTAAAATGATTATATAAAAGTTTATATAGATTTATTAAAATTCATTTAAATAATTTTTAAATTTATGATCAAAAGATTTATATTTCTATAGTATTTATAAAGATAGTACTGCAACTAATTATAACTAGTAATAAATAACTATTATAAGATTATAATTAATTATAATATTAATAAAAATTGAGTTGTAACTAATTATAATTAATAATAAATAAACATTACATAGTTATAACTAGTTGTAACGCTATCTTTAATATTTATTAAACAGATTTATTTAATATAATATATTTAATTTAAATTTTAGTATTGTATTACAAGTCTTTTATATTAACAAAAAAAGAAATATTAAAAACTTTAATAGATTTGCCTTTTTCAGAATCAATTTTCTGTTATTTTATTATTTGGTTATTCCTTAATCTGGTTATTTTAGCAGATAAATTTGTATGTTAAAATAATTAAAGTAAATTAGGCTTAAAATAGAATTTTTTATTAAAAAATTTATTCTGATTAGCTAAAATAATTTTTAAGAGCGTAAGTTAATATGACATAATTTTTGGTTGTAATATTGCATAATATTACATAATCAGAAAAGAATAAATTTCTTGTGACTTTATTTTTTTAAAATTTTATTGAAATTTATTTAAAATATAAATGAATAATATTATGAACAAAATTAAATTTTATTATTTTATTAATAAATGAATGCTTGATTAATTGGAAAAAAAATTACAAAAATTATTTATTGATATAGAATTATAAAAAGCAATTCTGAGTATTATTGTAATAAAAAGGCATATTATATAATACACATTATAGTTGATTTTGATGTAGTATTTTACATTCTATATTTATTTCTTTTTAATATGTATATAAGGGCTATAAGAGAAAATTAAGAAAGAAATTAATTTCTTTTTTAATTTCTTTTACATTTACAAATCATGTGTACTATCTGTATATTTTACATTTTTTTTTTTCACTCTGCATAGTGATTTTGAAAAATAAATTGTTATTCTGAAAACTTAAAATGCTTTATTACTTTTAACTGTTTTACATTTTTATTTAAACTATTTCTCCTCAATTGAATTTTTCTTATATCATAATTTTATCAGGATATTTTCTAAATATTATAATATAAACGTAATTAATCTGTAATATTGATATTATTCATATTATAGTTGTAGTTATCAATTACTTTAGAAATTTTTAATTTTTTTTTGATTTAGAATCAAATACTACTTGTATCTCATTGGTCAAAATCAAAAAAATCGAACATACAAAAATCAGCTTAAAATTAGTTTAAATTTGGTAAATTATCAAAAAATAAGTCTAGCTGATTGATATACACTAGAAATCAGTCAAAAATCAGCTAAAATTTGACCTATCTTATTTATAACTAATTTACATTTAATTGGCATACATTAAAAACTAACCAAGAATTAGCTAAAATTCAACCTACCTTATTTATAGCTGATTGACATCTGATTATATCTGTTAATATATATTAAAAATAGGCTAAAATTTGATCTATCTTATTTATAGTAATTATATCCAATTAGTATACATTAGAAATCAGCCAAAAATTAACTAAAATTTAACCTATCTTATTTATAGCTAATTAACATCTAATTTACATCTGATTGATATACATCAAAAATCAGCTAAAATATTTTAAAATAAAATAAAATTTGGAAGAAAATATAACTGATATTTAGAATTAACAGCTAAATAATACTAAAAATATTCAATTTATTTTTACAAATGGTATTTTCTATTAATTGAATTAATAGCTAAATATTCTTTTTCATTTTACTAAGCTGAAATTCAATAATTAATCAGTTCAATTTGACCTAAAATATGATGAACTGGTATAATACAATCATGACTTTTTGGATAAAATTCAGTATTTCATAATTCGTCATTATATGTTCTTTCTTCGTTAAAATAATATTGCATATTTAAAAAACTTGCAGATTTATACCAATAAACAAATGCTAGAAAATGTTCAGCCTATCTGGATAGCAAATCGACCTTATGTGTAAAATAATATTAAACTTGACCAGGATAACAATTGATTGTATTATTATTTGTAATAAATTTAGCTAAAATGTATGAATTTTTTACATGTTGTAAAGACATTAATGATCCAAAGATTTCAAAACCAATTTAGCATCTTCTGAATTGATTCATTTTGACCTGATTCATTATACTATCTTCTGAATCCTTATTGAATGGCTTCCTAAAATCAAATGTAGTATAAGTCGCATTATAGTATTCAATAATCAAATCAAGTATTTCACTTGAAATAATTATATTATCAGATGATAGTTTAAGGAATTTACTGGGATATGATTCACAACTAATAATATTTGATTTTTTAATATTTTATGAATTCATCCAAAATCAATGGATTTTATCAGAAGAAAATTTGTCTATATTTGAAAAAGAATTAATTGAAGGCTAATTGTCTAGCAATTCAAGTCTTTTTACCTCAATAACACTAAAACTTATAATACTGTTAATTTGAATATCAAATATCAATTAAAGCATTAGCTCAAATTTGATTTTTCTATTACTATTTGGTAAAGAACTTAAAAATCGTTCATAAATTAGTAAGCTGATTTATTCAAGAAATTCTCAAAAAAAATACCTAATATTCCATTCATACGTTCAAATGAAAAACACCAAAACGCATATAACAGACCATAGTCTCTTAAGTAATCATACAAATGGAGAGAAAAGTGAGATTTTTTTGCATTCATGATTATTTTCAATCAACTTCACCATCTTAATTAGTCTTCGATGTGCTTCATGTAATAGATCTGATTTTACAATCTGGCTTACTAAAATTGTACAAATCTTTACGAATTGTGTAAGAATCTTTCTATCTACAATCAGAAGATGTTCCTAAAGTGAAATAGTGGCATATACAGTGAAAAATATTCACCACTGATTAGCCGTAAAATTAGAAAATCCTTCTCCTTCATGAATTTTACCCAAAATTTGACCCAGATCAAAAGGAATCTGAAACTTATACATCTTTTTCTGAATCTTATTCAAGGAATTTGATATCAAAATCCTTTATCAATTCAGATTCATTTTATTATTTATCGTGCAATGCCTAAAAATAGGCAATGTATTGGATCAATTGTGATATATTTTATAGGGTCAAAATATAGCAAATGTAATAATTCAGATCATCTTATGTCACTTTGCTTTACAAATCATTTTCGTAAAGCGTCTAAATTACAGTGTCTCCATTCTAACGCATTTTGACAATACTCAATTGGATTTTGCATAATGAACCAATCATCGATATTATCCATTCTGGCAAAATTATGCTGATGATTTTAATAATTTGCCTTCTTTTCATATCTATGACATGATACTAAGGCTGAAATATGTTCACATATTTTCTGTGACCAGTACATCACATGAAATAAGAATTAAATCTGTATGAATATTCTTTCCTTTAGGATATTCATATATTTTATCTATTATTAATCCATTTTAAAGTGATTCTAATTCATTTATAATTAGTACTAAATAGTAATTTATTTTATGTAAACTGACTTCATTTGGTCTGGATAAAAGACCAAAAATTAGTAAATTTTTACATTTAAATCAGATATCATGAAATTAATTGTATATAGTAGCATATACAGTCAACTCTTATTATAGCGAACTCTTGATATAACGAATTTTTTGAACAAATATAATAAAAATACTCTTATAGTGAATTAGCCAATCAAATCTCTTAAAATCTTTACTATAGCCTTATAGCAAAGTTAAAGTCTAGGACATAGAGTTCGTTATAATAAGAGTTGACTGTATTACTCTGATGCTATAAACAGTATCACTATATAGCTGAAACTAGTCGAGATTTAGCATTAATCTAAAATGAGAATTGGTCATTTTATTTTAAAAAAAATTTGCTGAATCTTCTTATGAATATTCTTTTAACATCTGCTATACTTTACTATTATAAATATCAGTCATAATATTGTCAAAACGTTGACGATTTGTCTATTATCTCAGGCTAGTTTTAAAATTAGGCTGTTAATACATAAAAGTGAGTTGTTGTTAAATTTTAGAAAATAGAAAGATTAAATTAGGTTGAATTAAAGTTTAATTTGTTGATACAATTTTTTAAGATAATGAAGTATTGTAAAATCATATTTTGCAAATTGATGAATTAGAAAATTCTACATGTTAATATTTTATTACAGTTGGCATATTATTCTGTTGAAAATTCACCACTTTCTGCTTTTGATATAGCTTATGACAATTGAAATAAGAAACAAAGTGGTAAAATCAGTTATTTAATTCAAATGCTTTTTTTGTTAAGTATATTGAATTTAGAAAATTTTTAAATTTGTCACCTTCGATTTCTATAAGAACCAATTTCATTAATTTTATTAACGCTTCAGTTGCAGATCTGTAATATTGAATCTTATCTAAAATGATATAATCTAAAGTAATATTCACAAAAATCAGTTATTAATTAATTCTGTATTTAGTGGATTTTAAAATGGCTCATAATCTAGTGATACATAATCTTCAAATGTTTGAAAATCATCTTCTACAAAAATATCATCATCTTTAAATTTACCTATAATATAATCTTCTTTAGTAGTAAAT